CCCATCAGGATTAGCTGTGATCAAGCACGACATTATCTTGAGTGCTGAATTGGCATGGCTGGCCCTCAACACCCTCTTTGTCCAGAAAAGTCTTCTCCAAAATACTGTTGTGAACATTCATTTAGATTTGGGTGCATATATTAAATTTGATTTCATTAACGAAAACTCAAAGAGCTTTGTGAATGACGAAATATTATATGATCTTCTGTCCGGCTCTGTATGCCTGCAACTGTAGGCATGCTGTATTATTGCTCCAGAGCAACTGCAATTTATGGACAGAGGGACTTCAAAGAAATAAGTTGTCTCTTGAATCAAATGTGACACAGAGTGTGTGTTCTTAAGGTGATGGTATTCTAGACATCTTTCATCGGTTTGCACATAATTGCTTGATAGTTACTTGTGGAAAATGGAACTTTGTTCAATGTAGCGCTTTCTGCTAGGACAGAACCAAAAAGTTGACTTCCGGGTTAGCGCCATCGCCGAATGGCGGACTCCCTCCGAGCTCCGGAGGGAGTCTGCTCGGCAGGGGCTGGGTCCTACCGCGCCGGCGACGCGGGGACCCTTAAAAACCACGGGCACGGAGTCCGTGGACATGGGTGACTCGGCTTGCACCATTAGCGCCCTCCCGACTCGTGAAGGAGCCTTTTTAAAGGCTTCGGATCGGGTGCCGGGAGTGGCGTGGTGCTTGAGTCCACTGCTTTCCCTGCCGAGCGCAGCCGCATGCCATTCGACGGAGAGCGCTGACTTCTTCTATTGAAAATTTGGACTATTAACAACAACCCGTGAGTAATTGGGAAACCGGGTTCAAAATTTTGGATTTGGCACGAGCGGGGCGATTTAAAAGGAAGTCAATCCCCCCCCCTATTGTAAGCATTCCAAAACAAGGACTGGGTAACCAAGGTCCAAAGGGAAGTATGTCTCTGATAAAAATCATTAATTTCACGATGGGAAATTATAAGAAATGTGCTGGAGGAGAAGAGTGGAGGGTGAGAAGAAAAATGCAACCCCCTGGGAACCGGGGCGATTCGTGGAGCCTGGTGAAGAGAGACGGAGACTTTGACAGCTGTCAAAGTGGCTGTTAAAGCTGGAGAATATAAAGAGGACTTTATGAGGACCTTGCTGGTTAATTTTGTTACAATTTGCTATAATATGGATATAAACTGTTGGAAAATAAGCAACAATTTGACTTTTGGATTAGAGGATACAAAGTTATTACAATCCCCTAGAGGGGTTTCGGGATACTACAAGAACGGTCGTAAGTGGAAAAATACCCTGGGATTCGCACAGGATTTGTTATCTTCTGGGAAAGCTGCAAAACTGAAAGAGTATTTTGTCTACAGAGGAAGACAATGGAATTTTTATTGAAGAAAGAAAGGGACTGGACGTAAGTTTTGTTCCTGAATAACAAACCTCTGCAGAGACATTAGATTTCTGAATTAGAAAGTTTTAGCAGCTGAACAGGACAAGAAACCTGAGAAAGTGAGGAATAAGAAGAATAAAGGACTGATTACGACACGGAAAGAACAACGGGAGGAGTGGTAAAGATCAAGGAAATTAAAGGCCTTTGTTAGATTGGACATTTGAAGTCAAATATTATTTAAATTAATAAACTAAAAGAAAACCGGCAAGATGGAATCGGGAGAAATCTGGTCATGAAATGAGACTTCCAAGCTGATAATGTATAGACTGATGGACATGGGGAATTCAAACCGGGAAGGGGGAGATTTGAAATCCAAAGGCTGTGTAACCATTTTTGAATTTTTCTATATCTCTTATTTTCTATTTCTTTACATAACTTACGCATGTTATTTTACTTTGATCGGACGTGTTTAAAAAAGGGAATTTGTGGAAGGAACTGGGGTGGATCTTGGGGAAAATCTTTTTCTTTTTCTGTTAATGATGTGGGACGGTGGTAAGATTTGTACAATTCAATCTGGATAGTGGGTTAAACAAATTAAGCTTTAAATTGGGAGTGAGAGCTTGTAGAACCAAATTAAGGAAAGGGGAATACAATTGGGGGAGGGGGAGTCCCAGAAAGTAGGGAATGAAAGGAAGGTTTTTAAATATCTTTTTTTCTTTTGTCTTTTTTCTTTGTATTTTTATATTTTTTGGAAACTTTAATAAATATGATTTAAAAAAAAAAAAAAAAAAAAGTTAAATTGAAAATCGATCCTCAAATGATTATGCTTTGCACAGCTATCTTATTCATTATGTTTTGCTAGCTATTTTTTAAAAAAAATTTTATTCAAAGTTATAACAAAACATATTTTCCAAAAACATATCCTTATTCCCCCCATTTTTCCTCCCCCCCTCCCCCCACAAAACCCATCCCCCCACCCAACCCCCCGACTTCCCTCAGTTCCAGTCTTTGGTTTCTCCAATAATGTTATTTTCTGCATGTTACAGAATTGTATAGATCCTATACAATTAATATAGGATATTATATAATATATATATATCTGTATATATAATATATATAACAGTATATATAATAACTGTTTAGCTAGTTATTATCAGTAAAAAATAAAATAAAATTGTGGATGTTTATTTAAAACCTGCCAAGGAGTCCAATTCGCTTTGTTGCGTCTTCAAATACTTTGTGAAAGGTTCCCATTCATCCTTAAAGTCACAGTTATCCTTGTCCCGTAGCTTATGAGTCAATTTTGCCAGTTCTACATAATCCACCAATTTTTCTTGCCATAATTCTTTAGTTGGGATTTCTTCAGTCTTCCATCCTTGTACTACCAGAACTCTCGCGGCCGTTGTCGCATACATGAAGATGTTTTTCAACTTTTTTGGCAGGTCTTTCCCTACGATCCCCAACAAAAATGCCTCGGGTTTTTTAACAAATGTTAAATGGAACATTTTCTTCAGTTCATTGTATATCATTTCCCAAAATTTTTTAATTACTTTACAATCCCACCACATATGATAAAATGTTCCCTCCTTTTCCTTACACTTCCAACATATGTTTGAACTAGTTTTGTACATTTTCCCTAACTGCACTGGTGTTGTGTACCATCTGTACATCATCTTCATGTAATTCTCCTTCAATAGGGAACAATCTGTAAATTTTAAATCAGTTTTCCATAATTTAACCCAATCCTCCATCATAATGTTGTGACCTACATCTTGTGCCCATTTAATCATAACTGATTTTACCTCTTCATCTTTCGTCTCCCATTCTAATAGTATGCTATATGCGGCCTTCAGTAGTTTCACTTTCCCTTCAATCACTTCCGTTTGAAACCTAGATCTAGTATAACTAAATCCTTTCTTACAGTCTTCTTTATATGTTTCATGTAGCTGTCGATAATGCAACCAACTCTGAAAGTGGTCTTTGATCTCATCATAATCTCTCAATTTCCATTTTCCATCATGTTCCTTTAATAAATCAGCATATGTGAGCCATTTTCCTTTCTTTCCAAGTGGTTTAAGCAGTAATGCTTCATGTGGTGAAAGCCACCACGGAGTCTTTTCTTCCAATAAGTCTTTATATCTCTCCCATACTCTCATTAATGATTTCCTGATTATATGGTTGTAAAAGCTTCTATGAATCTTCCCTTTCCCGTACCATAAATATGCATGCCAACCAAATCTGTTGTCATGACCTTCTAATTCTAGTGCCTCTTGCTTGTCCAATCTCATCCAGTCCCTGATCCATACCAAACAAGCAGATTCGTAATACAATTTAAGGTCTGGGAGGGCAAACCCACCTCTATCTTTTACATCTGTAAGTATTTTATGTTTTATCCTTGGCATTTTGCCCCCCCAGATAAATCTTGAAATCTCTTTCTGCCATTTTTTAAAGCATTCATCTTTCAGGATGACTGGTATTGATTGAAAAAGAAATAGCATTTTTGGCAACACATTCATTTTAATCGCTGATATTTTTCCTAACATTGAGAGATTCATTCTGCTCCATATTTCTAAATTTCTTTTTACCTCAAGCCAAATTTTTTCATAGTTATTTTTAAATAGGTTTATATTTCTTGATGTTAACCAAATCCCTAAATATTTAACCTTTTAATGGACTTCAATCTCAATATTTTGTTATAATTCGGTTCTTTCTTCTTCCTTCATGTTTTTAACTAATAATTTAGTTTTATTCCTATTTAGCTTAAATCCTGCCACTTCCCCAAAATTCTGAATTTTTTCTATTACTTTAGGGAGTGAAGTTTTAGGTTCTTCCACTGTTATCACTAGGTCATCTGCATACGCTTTTAACTTGAATTCACTTTTCCCAGCTTTTACACCTGTAATCTCTTTATTTGCTCTTATGTTTTTGGCAAGTACTTCCAAGACCAGAATAAACAATAATGGTGATAATGGGCATCCTTGTCTTGTTCCTTTTTGGATCTTACAGTCATCCGTTATCACCTGATTTATAATTAGTTTAGCTTTTTGTTCTGAATAGATTGCTGCTATTGCTTTTAAAAACTTGGGACCACTTCTGATTTGTTCTAACAGCTTTATCATGAACTTCCAAGAAACATTATCGAAGGCTTTTTCAGCGTCTATAAACATCATTGCCACTTTCTTTTGCTAGCTATTGACCAAGAAAGATGCCATTTTGCTAATCTGCCACTATAGCGGAACATCTGTGTTTCCACATAAGGACTGGCATTGCTGGGCTGGAATGTGAGTGTGCAAAGATCTGAAGGTACAACATTGCACATACAAAATCAGAAATCATGCTGCAGTGCCATGGACAAAACTGCCAACTTTGGGATTTGTGAGTCCTTGAATATTGCATAAAACACACTTGAAGAATTATTTCTTGGAACTGAACATTGTTAACATTTTCCCTGCATCAGGAAGCTTTTTTTTCTCAGAGGGAAATTGGAACAGTCAGCCTTCAATCCATTCTGCACATCTTTATTTGATTCTAAAAGCAAAAGTGACATATTTAAAACTCTACCATTTAAATTCACAAATTGTTCTACATTCAGGAGAACTGCCAAAAGCATTGCTTTTAATATATTTTAAAATTTCCTTTCATCCCATCCCTGAGAGCCAAGATACTTATTTCATTACAGGCATAACTTCTCTCCCCTTTTTTTCCAAAAAAGAAACATTTAAAACCCAGTAGAAACCCATCCAAGTTTCTCATAGTCTGAGTGAGACTCTCCAATTAACATTTGTTATATGGTGGCACTAGCGCAAAAAAAAAAAAAAAGTTATTGAAGCTTTTTGGGAAATGGGCAAATGTTGCTGAAGAGAGCTATAAACTCTGGGCTCAATCCCTTCATAGTAGTGTGCTGTGCCTTCCATCAAAAAGCTGAAGTCTGGCCTCACGTACTTGGAAACAGGACAAATTCAGTTCTTGGCTCTGTATGCTGGCAAAAAAAGAACTGCAGAACAGAAAGGAGAGAAAACTAGAGTGAGAGATAGAAGTTTCACAGCCAACGTAGATATCACAAACGAGTGAGACTGTGTACAGTATTACCTCGGGTTAAGAACTTAATTCGTTCTGGAGGTCCGTTCTTAACCTGAAACTGTTCTTAACCTGAGGTACCACTTTAGCTAATGGGGCCTCCTGCTGCCGCCGCCGCCGCCGCGCGATTTCTGTTCTCATCCTGAAGCAAAGTTCTTAACCCGAGGTACTATTTCTGGGTTAGCAGAGTCTGTAACCTGAAGCGTCTGTAACCTGAGGTACCACTGTACACACCAAACATTTAAAGCACATCCCCTGCAAAAAGAAAAAGTATCCTGGGAACTGTCATTGACCCCTCAGAGAGCTACAATTCCCAGCACCCTTAACAAACTACAATTCCTACGATTCTTTCCCCAGCCCCAGGTGATGTGCTTTAAAAATAGGAAAACAGAACGGAAGAAGAAAGTTAACCCCCGCCCCCCCCCCCCAGTGCTGCAGTCTTAATTTAAATTGGGAGTCCACTTGGCCACATTTGCTATTTTAAATAACTGAAGGAGCTCCAGCTACAGATCTCCTGCCATTGCATCTAACTGCAACTTAAATTTAGAAGTGGAGGCAAATGTTCAAAATATCTGAGAAATGCTGCCTTAGCAGAAGCAAGCAGAAAGCGAGGGAGGGGGAGGGAATGTGTAAACTAGAAGGCAGAAGAGACAAGGAGTCACTAGCACTACCAAGGCAATTATACACATACTCAGAAGTAAGCCCTGCTGACTTCAGTAGACCTTAGTCCTAGTTTTGTGGGTTTAGGGTTGGAGCCTGCAGACCCTCCAAGCGTCCCTATTTTCCATGGACGTCCCTGAATTAGAGAAGCCGTCCCAGTTTCTGATTTGATCCTGGAATGTCCCACTTTTCTATAGGACATCCCTATTTTCATTGGAGAAATGTTGGAGGGTATGGTACGATGTCCCTATTTTCACTGGAGGGTATGGAGTTATCTGACCCCCGAGTCGTCTGAAGGCAATCCTGTATAGGGAAATGTTTTTTTAATGTTTCATGTTTTGTTGTGTTTTTATATATGTTGGAAGCTGCCCAGAGAGGCTGGGGCAACCCAGAAAGATGTGTGAGGTATAAATAGTAAAATTACCAGAGAAATGTTGGAGGATATGAGCCTGCAGCCCGGTTACCTGCTGAACTCACCGATAGTGTGGTTCCTTTTGGCACGCAGAGGCAGTGAGAGCACATATGGGTGCAATTTTAAGAAAGTCAGCCTGTGTGTGGCTAATTCTGCTTAGCTCAAAATACCGTACTTAGTTTAAGCTACTTGCCAGCCAATTAAGCTCCTCTGAATCCAGTACATGACAGGTTAAGGGTCTTTCCTGCTCCTGCGAGGCTATCCACACATAGCCTTGCACTCTCTTCAGCTATCAGGGAAAATGATAGCTACCGCAGGGCAAACACGTCATCACTTCAGGCAACACACCTCTTACCTGTCAGGAACACAGGGTTTTGCAGCATGTCACAGGGAACAGCTGATGAAAGTCCCTGCCCTTCCTCATTCCACTGCAAGAAGCAGGAGCGGAGCTAGAGGCATTTAGAGATTTCCAGAGATTTCAGAGGCAAGAACTGTGATTCTACTCCTGGGACTTTGGCGTCTTATCCCACCCTCTCCCCCCATCCCAAACATAGGCATAAAAGACGGCAGGCCGTGGATTGTGATAAATGTATGCCTCTTTAAAAAATACATGCAAATAAAATAATAAAAGCTTTTTTACTTTTATTTTATTCTATCACTTATCTTTTCAGCTTTGGAAATAAAGATATGATGTGTTTATTTAGTCAGCTGGATTTCGATGTTTCTGATTAACCTGTGATTAAAGAAACACAAACTGATAAAACTAGGAGGAGACTGAGAGGGTTAATAGCAAGACTCCTTGTTTCCCTTAAGCAGCTACAGCAGAACTGGAGGATCCGACCCCCTGTAGACATTGCTGGACTCCCAACTCCTCAGCTCCAGCCAGCATGACCAATGGTTAGGGATGATGAAGGGTCGTAGCTTCTCCAACCCTGAACCACAGGGGTGGTCTAAAATATTTTGGTGCCTAGGACAGCAAATCCAAATGACAATCCCCACGCTTACTTGGTGGCAAACATATAGTAAAAAATAAAATAATTATATATTGCCTGGTAATTTGGTTGGCCCCTTCATTGTACACTGTATCATTATAGCTGAAACATACATGACATGAAATGGTCTATAACTGGTGCTTCAATAAAAGTAAATAGTCCTGATCAAAATACTGGAAGCAGCACAAATCGACATGTGCATAAATCTCTTTGCTGGAATCAAATGGATTTTTAAAATGCTTTACTTTGTTGGGGATATTATTATTATTATTATTATTATTAATCTGTTAGTCGCTTTATCTTGCCAAAGACAACCCAAAGCGACTTACAAGCTAACAAAAACAGTAGAATCCCACATAGATACATTAAAACCAAGAAGGGAAAACACACACAATACATTAAAAACATCCCACACAACTTCTGTTCTGCTTCTCTACAATCACAAGGCCCCATTGCTTCAGTCCCCAAATATAGTCATTTATGATGTCTATACTATATTAAAAAATGTGTGTACATATGTGTGCATCTGTCTATCTCTTTAAAAAATCAGAGTGATTTCCAGGTCAGCCAACAGAAAAGACATCGGACACAAATGACATAAGATATAAAGCAGCACCGACGTGCACCACCACACCGTGTGCTTGCGTGTTTAACTATGTCATATGCAGCGAAACAGCCAAGACGGAGGCACTGCCACTTGCCAAGAGTTGTGTGAGCAGAGACTGGGTCACCATGCTGAAAGGGCACCTTGTCAACCTTTGAGCAAATCTCTGCAGTCGAAGGGTGCTGAAATCCCCAATCAAAGATGGGCCGAGGCTCCATCTGGGTTTCATCTATAGAGGGAGAGAGATGCATCTTCTTATCCCCCCCCCCCACCTTCCCCTCCTCCTTGCTGCTCGCCAACTTCTAAACAAGCATTCCGATGGGCTTTGGAACAGAGAGACTGTCTCAAACTCCCAGGAAGCCATTGGGCCATAGTGGAGCCAGCCTCCTCCTCATCCATCATCCTTATCAGCGTACTCTGGCAGGGCTACGGTCCCTGGCAGCAAGGCCTGCTAGGACAGAGAAAGTAGGCTCAGTTGAGAAGGGAGCCCTCGTGGAGACAAGGAGGGGCGCACCAGGGCGATAAGCCACACCACAAACAAAAACAACTGTCCTCATTTGAAACTTCAAAGCCTATTGGGCTTTAAATTTATATGGCTTAGGAATGAGGCTGTATCAATAGTTTGATAGGAGGACGCTGGGAGAGATGGCTACAGGTAGGAAGGAGTGAAATTCCGAAACAGTTTGAAGGCGATGGCTTCGTAACACGTACTTCATACATATCTCACAGGGAGCTCAGACAGCTGGCAATCTGATTTCACATGTCACGAGACTGAGGTTCTCAAAAGACACTCGATTTCAAAAAGAGAGATCTTGTCTTGTGTGCCGTATTCTTGCAACGCTTAGTGACTAGGTACAAAATAATATTTTTATTACATGAAGATCCCACCTTCCCTTCAAAGGTAGATGGGTCTCCCACTCTCCATATTATTATCATCACAACAACCCTGTGAGGTAGGTTAGGCTATGAGCTGGTGACTGGCCCAAAACAAAAGAGCTTCACCTACTACACTGCTGTGGCTCTCAAATGTTAAACACTGAAAAATGTTCCGTGTCCACTAATACAGTGGTACCTCAGGTTACAGACGCTTCAGGCTACAGACTCTGCTAACCCAGAAATAGTACCTCAGGTTAAGAACTTTGCTTCAAGATGAGAACAAAAACCGCACGGCGGCAGCGGGAGGCCTCATTAGCTAAAGTGGTACCTCAGGTTAACAACAGTTTCAGGTTAAGAATGGACCTCCAGAACGAATTAAGTTCTTAACCCGAGGTACCACTGTACAGTTTTGTGTTGTCAGTCTCCAGAGATGTGATGTTCAGCAGCCCAAACCCCTCCAAACTTCAAGACCAGCACAAAAATATTGTTACTGATATAGCTTGACCTTTGGGGCATTTTCCAAAGTGTGTGTATGTGAGCACAAATGCTTCATGTACGTAAACTACAGGTTTATATAATGGGTTGTATGGTAAACTAAAGGCACAATGCAGCAAAAGAAAATAATGGAATGGCTCATATACCATTGGTTAGGTGCCAGGCAAAAACATTTCTTTTCCACCAGGCCTTTGGCTTTTAATTATTCGCGTGGACAGGCGGAGCCCCCAAACCCTGGGCGGCCCCTGTGTGGAATAACGACTCAAGACAACGTGCTATGGGATTAAAATTGGCCACAACTTTATTATGTTTCAGATGTGGGTAGACCTTGGCTCAGGCATTGGGCATTTATCCCCCCCCCCAGTCCCCCCTTGGGGATCTGGGGAACATCAGGGTTATCCAGTGTGAGTGGGGGATGGACTGGCTCTGGAGAACATATGTTCAAGCAGAGACAGTCCACCCCCATTACGCCGCCACAGGGGAGAGCAATGATCACCTCTACGCTTACGGCCAACGCCTTCCCTCAAACAACCCCTTTAATGGGTAACCCTGGTATCGCCGCCGCGAAGAGGAGGGGAGCATGGACCACCGCTGCACGCCCCCCCCATTTAGACTAAAGGAATCCGCCCAAGGCCTGATACCGCCAAAGTTGTGACGTTTTGCTACGGGAAAGGCAAACCTGCCAATGCAGGAGAATTTCTTTCCAGCCCTTCAACAGTGACCTTGATGTAGCAGCGCCTGTGTACCTGTGGAGAAACAGTTAATCTGCAAAAGAAGTCTTAACTGAGGGTGGGTAGGGTGGGAGAAGCTCTGGAGCCAACTGACGATTCCCAGGTAAGATCCTCCCCCTATTGTGTGGGCAAGTAGTCCCTCCCCCTACCTGGTCTGATCACCTTGGCAACGCCTCCCCAGGCGGGATTGGGCAACTTGCTGAGGTAGGCGGAGACCTCCAGGTATCCCACCTGGGGGGGGTGAAGCCGAGCCTGTGCTAATGGTGCCACATAGGGTCCAGGGGGCTGCGCACGACCACGCAAAGGGCGCCCCCCCATTTAATGTGGGGAGCGGTCATTGTGGCCTCCAACAGTGGTTGGGATGTTTTAGTCCTGTCTTTTAAAAATATGAATGGGTTTTAGATTTTATTCTGTTTTAGTTTTATGCTGGTTTAAATGTATGTGTTATTTATTGTTGTAAGTCACTTTGAGTTATTATTTGTTTTTTAAAAAGATGACTAATCAATTTAAATTAACAACAACAACAATTCCTGGACCTAATCACAACGAACATTTCCTGTTTCATACCCATACAGTACTTAAAAACCACAACACCAACCACCATGTTTTATCCCCCCCCCCCCTCAGAGTCACCTTGAAGATAACACAGCTGAGCAAGAATGCTGCCTGAAGGCACAGCTATGTGGTGCAGAGCAAATATCAGGATCCTAACCTAGTGTTTGCATTATAAGATTAATGCAGGGAACATTTGCAGGGAAGAACTGATGAGCTGGAACCTCAACCATTCTTCCCTGCAAATTCCATCACACCTTCCAAGGTGGCTTATTCCCTGCCCTTACAAATAACCTAAACAACATTTGAGCTGCTCTGGTTCGCCAGAAGCGGCTTAGTCATGCTAGCCACATGACCCAGAAGCTGTACGCCGGCTCCCTTGGCCAGTAAAGTGAGATGAGCGCCGCAACCCCATCGAGTCGGCCACGACTGGACCTAATGGTCAGGGGTCCCTTTACCTTTTTACATCCATTTTTGTCCCAGGCTTGTGTGTGATAAACATGCCAACATCAAGTGCAGTTCTGTTCAGATGATGGAGAATTGTTGCTATTTTAATTCTATTTTAAATACCTAAAAATGATGCAGCCCTGAAGAAGCGCCTCCACTCCCATTGTTCACTGATGGTCCAGCTCTGAGGGCCTTCTGGCAGTTCCGACACTGCAAGATGTGAAATTACAGGGAACCAGGCAGAGGGCCTTCTCAATAGTCGTACCCACTCTGTGGAACACCCTCTCAGCAGATGTCAAAGAGTTACACAACTGTTTTGGGAAGCTTTTAATTTTTGTTTTCCCACCCCCCTCTCTGTATTTTTCTTGGAAGTCGCCCAGAGTGGCTAGGACAATCCAGTCAGATGGGCAGGGTATAAGAAATTATTATTACTGTTGTTGTTATTATTATTACTACTATTACTACTACTTGGGTTTTTTGAGAGGCAGAATAAGTGCATGAATTTTGATAGGAGAAATAAATACCATCTATGTTTATTTTATTTTACAGAAATCCTCAAGACTTCTGATCACACTTCTTCGGCACACCACCTACCTATTTTTCTCCAGACTGCCATTCAGTTTTGTTCACCTGCTATGTGTGGGATTGCCTGCTAAAGTTCTAGTTAAGGCAGGAGCTTCAGATGCCCCCCCCCTTGCCTTCTTAAAGGGATAGTGCTTTTCAGACCACTCCAAAAACTGGTCTTGGAGATATCTCCTATATATATATTGACACACAAGCTTCTTGTCAGTCCCCTCTCCTTCCTTTGTACTGAGGATTCAGAGTGTAAATACACATCTGTGCATATAAATAAAAATATTTGTTATAATTACATTCATGCAAACAGTCCATTCTCCTCTGTGGTTTATATCAGCCCCTTAAGTTTGTAATTTATCTTGGCGCAGTCTAGACTGGAGCCACTTTGAAGCTGCTTCAAACAGGATGAGAACAAACAATTTTTCCAAAGTGGTTGGATTAGAAAAAAGGATTGGTCACTCACTGCACTTTCCAAACTGCAGCTATCCTGGGTCGTTGCTAAATACCGCACGGGAACTAAGGTCCTGCTGTCTCTCACTCTCCAGGTTTCACTTCCAGTTAGGAAAGGTGGGAAACCAAATGAGTTTGGAAGATCAATCTTAAAAGATGCAGTCTCTCTGTCTCTGTCTCTGTCTCTGTCTCTGTCTCTGTCTCTCTCTCTCTCTCTCTGTGTGTGTGTGTGTGTGTGTGCAAGTACAAGAAATGTAGTGAATGTAGATATTTTCATCTGTAGTTAATATTTTTTATATCTATATATAAAAGGATGTAGAATTCGTGCTTGCAGGAAATATATATTCCAGAGAGCTGTTGCATAGCACAGTGGTTAAATTCATTGGATTATTTTAGACAAAACGGTTCTCAGGATCAACTTCAACCCCCCACTAAGGTAGTAATAATATCAGTATACCTTATTGTAAGGTTTGTGGGGATAATGTATGTGGAGTGCATTGTGCACTTTGGGGGAAAAAGGTGTCTAATTACCAAAGGGCTCTGGATTACTTGCAATTGCGTGAATTTGATAGTCATGAAAGCCATTTCTGACAAGTAAGCACGGAGAATGGAACCACTCCAAACATAGCATTTCAAAGGGTGTGGAGGCAAAGCATTGGTGGATTGGTTCCTGTTCTAAATAATAGCATGTCTGCATGCAGGTAGGATGCATCACCGCGTGGAACCAAATGTAGGGTAGGTGGCAGAGGAAGAACAAATGAGAAGGAAAGAATTCAAGAAAGACACAAGTCTTCCTCTGGACAGATCCGCATAAGATTACTGCAGGAAGCACCAGTGTTGCACCAGCCCCTGAACTGCCGTTCTCAAGATTACCGGTAGATCCATGAAACGGATATAAAACCAACGTAATCTTGTAAAATAGATGGGTACTCAGAATACGTGCGTTTCAGGGTAGGTCAGTAGATACGGGGTATAACGGAGAATGATGCCTATGTATGTTTATTGAATGTGTGCATCCAGATAGCTCACCATTTCTCCCAACCACAAAAGAGGAGAGGAGATCTATGGTTGCTAGTCCCACTTCCTTCACTGTGTCCCTGTGCTCTTTCTCCCCTCCATCCCAAATCCATGCCTTGGGGAGGAGATCTGAAGAGGGATACTGCTCCTATTTCATCTGCATCCACTGCCGCTTTGGGCAGCAGTGTACAAGTGATCCATGTTTATCCTGTATCAGTCCTGTTTCTCCTGATGAAAGGCTACATTTTGATGCTTTTTGTCTAACCAACTTGGATCCAAATTGAGAAAAGGTGGCCTTTTAAGCTGCCTTTTAAGCTGATGATGTGTGCACAGCCTAAAATTCCCTGCAGGATTGAAAACTACACCATCAGGATTCCAGATCGTGCAGGCAGCCTACATGTGCAGAGCAGAGACTCCCCTTTTCATATCTCCCCCTTGTTATGCATTCATGCTGGGTGGGGCAATGGGCCTGGCAAGGCCGGTGATCACAGCCCCACCCCAACTGTAATATATTGCGGTGGAGAACAGCTGGAAAGGGCTAGTCACTCATCAGTTTAGCAGTACTGTATAAAACTGGGGTCGAATCAGGTGTACCTTTCTACCTAGGCCATCAGAAGATGGTGTTCTACATAAGTTGTCAATCTGAGCAGCTGGAAGTCTACTTTTATAACAATAGCCTGAAGAGAATTCTGCCATTCTATGAGCCAATAAACATCTCAGTCTCTATTGGTGCAAATGCTAAGGAGACCATCTGGGAAAACATGTGTTTCCTATATTTTCCACACAAATGCTGCATTTTAAATAGTACAGTCTTTGCCCATTTGAAGTCGCCAGAGTTTACGATCGTTGTTTCTTTTTTTTAAAAAAAGTTTGCAATAATGTGCATGCAAGCTCTCCAGGCTGCAAAGGAAATCTGCAAAAATATTTGGTGTCCCCGCCCCTGTCTCCCCCTCCAAGGTACACTCAGTGGCTCCAGTTGGTCCCCAAATGCACTTGCTAGTTTAGGAGGGCAGAAATAATCATCTCTAAAGAACCAATGCTCAATTATGATTATGAAGCAACAGGCGGTTAACATGGCTCCCCCTCTGGAAATTACCCACTAGGTTTTAGAAGATACAGTGGTACCTCTGGATGCGAATGGGATCTGTTCTGGAACCCCGTTCGCATCCAGAAGCGAATGCAACCCGCGTCCGCGGGCCGCAATTTATCGCTTCCGCGCATGCATGTGACGTCATTTTGACCATCTGCGCATGCGCGAGCGGTGAAACCCGGAAGTAACGCACTCCATTACTTCCGGGTCGCCGCAGCGCGCAACCCGAAAATACTTATCCCAAAGCTACTTCAACCCGAGGTATGACTGTAGCTAATTTGAGACCTAAGTAACCTTAAAAAGGGAAAGGAAGTAATTTAGGCAGGTGCCTGCTATCAATGTGAGAAGAGAAGGCAGTTGAAAAGGTAATTAGAAAAGCAAGTTCTGTGGGACAAGCACTATCTTGCATAAGGAGGGGGCACTGTGCTTTGTGTTGCATGCTTCTCAGGGCAAATAGTGTTATTTATCAGGGAGAAGCACCTTTGCCCACTCTTGCTCTCCTGTACCATTGCCTAAGTTAACAAGACAGCGATTTCAGCTGCTAATTTATTAAAAGAAACAACGTACTGTTGACTCATCTTTTTTCATCACTCCCATTTAAGAGCAAATTCAGGTAGAGGGGGCCAACAGCCATGGAGCCAAAACGAGGCCAATGCGAAACAGGAAGGGAACTATCAGCACACTCAAAGAAACCTGAGCCTTGCCAAAGGAAATAAATTTATTAAACCCCCACCCATGTAAAGAAAACCAAAAGCAAACCACAGCTCAATAAGGACTAAGCATGCTCAGAAGCCACAGGCTAGAGAGTATTATCTAGATATATTTTTTTAAATGTAGAAAAACCATTAGGCTGGCAGGGAAATGGATTGAGTATCCCGAGGAGTGCGTGGCTGGCTGAAAGCCTGAGCAGGAGCACTCTGATAAGAAAGGGAGGATATAGACTTTGGTTGCAGTGCTGTGTTTCCTTAAACATTCGCAAGCAAAAACTGTTACAGAAGCGAATTTGCAAAATGAAATTATGCAATAACGTTGGGGTTGCCCTGGAACTACATTTTTACAAACAACTGATGCACTTGCTTGGTTTAATGTCTAATTATGAATTATCACTGAAAGTAAGGGAAATAATTGATTCTATGATAGGCTTTTATAGAGACAAATTCAGCTGATTTGATGGGGAGCTGTTTGGAGACAGTGCCTTTACTTCAAGTGGGATAACCTTAGCATTATCAGCACCACACTGCAATCCAGATTGTCTTGAGGACACCAGGTGTGGTAAGGTGTGGTATAGGACTGCTGTTATAACAGATGGAGAGAAAGTTCTCACTGCCCCCTTTCTCTACTCCATGCATAAGGTTATATGCCTCTATCATATCTCTCCTTACTTGTCTTCCCTCCACATAAAAAAAAACAACAACCCTCAAATAATGAGCCACATGTGCCCCATTATGCTGATGTTAAAAGAGTTGTGCTGGCTGCTAATTTGTTTCCAAGATAAATTGAGGATACATGGTACCACGGTTGTCGAACGTAATCCATTCTGGAAGCCCGTTCGGCTTCCAAATCGTTCAAAAACTGAGGTGCGGCTTCCCATTGGTTGCAAGAGCTTCTTGCACTCAGCGGAAGCTGCGTTGCATGTTCAGGTTCCGAAAAACATTCAAAAATGGAAGCATTTACTTCCAGGTTTTTGGTGTTCGAGAACTGAAATGTACGACAACGGAGGCATTCAGGAACCGAGGTACCTCTGTATTGATTTTTAAAACCTGACAGTGATAGGAACACAGGTACTGTACTTTAGAGACCACTGTTTGTAACCCAAACCCCCTCAAGCTCTTATATTATCTGGTGGGCCTTTCTTCAGGTTATTTCCTTGACTGCAGAGAGATTAGCATTCCCAGTGAGCAGGGCCTTTTCTTTGGTGACACCCCACTTACGAGATGATTCACACTGCAAGCTCCCTTCTGGCCTTTAGAAAGGAAATAAAAATATTTGTGTTTAAGCAGACTTTTTTGGGAGCGGGTGTTAAACTTTTTAATTTTCTGCTGTGTATTTATTTATTTATTTTATTGGGTTTTCACAAAGTGAAATAACGAAAGAAAACCACAAAGACTAACATGTCAACATGGGAAGTCATCACAGAGATGCCCTTGTTATACAGGTAAGTACACCTGCATTTATACATTTGAAACGTCATTTTAATTAGGAAAACCATATTTCTCTCCTTGGTGTGGATATGAAGTTTATGAGTTTCTGCTGTGTATTTATTACATTTTTATTGTGTATTTAGAATTGGTTTTGAAATGATTTTTAAATGGTATTTTTAAAATAATAATAATAATTAAATGACTGCATTGTTGCTAGTAACCTTGGAAGCCCAAACTTGGGAAGAAACATGGGCTAGAGACGTGTAAGAATGAATAAAATGAATTGTTTAAATTTGCTTACACTTGAATTGTGTACAAAAGAGCTGGAGCAGGGTATATTTTTCTGCATTTTGAGTCTGTCACCCCTAATTTGCGATTCTTTTAAGGGAAAATAGTCTTCTTCTTAGAAGCAACACACACACACACACACACACACACACACACATCTTAAAGTTGAGAACAACCATTTCTTAAAACCAGACACCGAAACATTAGTAGTACATGCTACCAAGAAAGAAAGAAAGAAAGAAAGAAAGAAAGAAAGAAAGAAAAGAGAGGGCTTCGGCCATTCCATAGTTTGTGGCTTTCAATCTCTTTGACCTTTCCTTCTGGTGCTGAAAATGCTCATCTTGCCTAAAATCCCTGTCATATAAGCAAGATGCTGTCAAATTGATAAGCAGCCTTCAGCACACCTGTGTAGCTCACCATCGCCCCCTTCAGTGAGACTCTGCCTACGCCACTGTTGATCTGTCAGGTACCTATGAGTGATGGCTCGGGGTGGGAGAGCCTGGCATTACCCTGTAAGCTAGACAACAATCCCCTTTATGTAAGCACAGCTCTTGCGGCTGGGCTCAGTAGCAGCTCTCTGCACCGAGGGGAGCTGTTCCGTGCCCCTGCTCAGGCCGTCACTAACCCACCTCTCGGCTCATTTATCCACCTCTGGGCAGCCTGCTGACAGCACTTCCCTTTACTACCAGCTGCAAAAACCTGGCAGCTGATTTAGGAGAGTTGCTGAGCCCCAAAATGTAAACCGTTTTTTTTCACCAGGAATGTATAAGCAAGCCATAAACTAAAAGATTTGCTTCTGGTCACATGGGACAGGCCCCCCATAAAATTGAAGCATTGATCTCTATTTTAGTTAACGGCCTCTAAGCTGCCCAGATGATTGAAGACCTGAGCCTTAACAAACTTTGTAATCTCCTGCCATACATCTGACATGGCATGTTTGAAGTCCGAGGACGAGTTATTTATATTATTTATATAATAAGCGGTGAAAAGACATTAGCCAAAAGTAAGGCTGAAATAGCTCCCATTGTATGAGAGGTAACAAAAACATGCACATGGATGCTGGATGGTCACATTCCTTGTGGCCTACCATTTTAACACCTTTGTGAAAGGGCATTCAGGTATGTGCCCTGCATATCGTATTACAGATGTACAAGCATTTGTTAAAGCATTGCATTGGAGAAAAATGGCAATGAGATGGCCAAGAAATGGGTATATCGATTCCAAGAAGGGTGGGGGGGTGTTGATAACTGTACACAACATGGAATTATCTGCAGGCAGAAATAGTTCTTTCCTCCCTTAGAAGCCAAAATGAAGTAGGCATTTTTGAACACGTCTTCCAAACCTATTATAGGCTCACTTCCAAAACTGTTGTAGTTAAAATGAAGTTTTTAATTCCTGGTTTCAGGGGCTTGACTACTGAAACGAACGGAGACTATTAACACATCTCACTAGCAATTCTTGGAATCATAGAATCATTTTCTCTGGAGGAGAAAACAAGCTTGCTGCATCTTCGCTAACCCAGAAATAGTACCTTGGGTTAAGAACTTTGCTTCAGGATGAGAACAGAAATTGTGCAGCGGTGGCACAGCGGGAGCAGGAGGTCCCATTAGCTAAAGTGGTGCTTCAGGTTAAGAACAGTTTCAGGTTAAGAACAGACCTCCAGAACGAATTAAGTACTTAACCCAAGGTACCACTGTATTTGAATCACTTCTCAGCCTTTTGACTAAGCTCAAGTGTGTTGATATCAGTCTCCTCTTTTCCAGGCTAAACATACCCAGCTCCTTCAAGCGCTCCTCATAAAGCTTGGTTTCCAGCCCCTTGATCATCTTGGTTGCCCTCCTTTGCACACGTTCCAGCTTGTCAATATCCTTCTTAAATTGTGGTGCCCAGAATTGGACACGGTAGTCCGAGTGTAGTCTGACTAAAGTAGAATAGAGTTACTTCCCTTGATCTGGACACTATACTGTACCTCTGTTGATGCAGCCTAGAATAACATTAGCTCTTTTTTTGCTACTGCATCACGCTGTTGACTCATGTTAAGCTTGTGGTCCACTACAACCCCAGATCCTTTTCACGTGTACTGCTAGTAAGCCAGGTGTCTCCCCATCTTATATTTGTGCAGCTGGTTCTTCCTGCCTAAGTGCAGAACCTTACATTTGCCCCAATTGAAATTCATTTTGTTGGTTTGGGCCCAGTTCTCCAAGGTCATTTTGAATCCCAAATCTGTCTTCTGTGGCATTAGCTGCCCCTCCTAGTTTGGTGTTATATGCAAGTTTGATGAGCATCCCCTCAATTCCTTCATCCAAGTTGTTTATAAAGATTTTGAACAACAACAGGCCTATTATTCCCTTGTGATGGAACAATGCACTGCTGCTAGAGTAGGGCTTCCGCAGAAGATCTTAAGACATGGGCCGCATATGCACCATATATTTTAAAAACATGACTTTGCCCAAAGAATCCTAGGAACTGTAGTCTGTTAAGGGTGCTGCAAAATTGTAGCTCTGTGAGGGGTAAACTGCAATTCCTATGCTGATACGAGAAGAGGGTACTGTACTTATATAGCCAATGAGCAATTTGTGTTAGTAAGCAGATACACACGGTCATTCAAATGTTCTTTGAGCCCTGGACCCAAGAATTGCTAATCCCTGTAAAAGAATAGAGACTATGGGCTTTCCTTCTGATACTGTCAAACAATATTCTTTTGTAAAAATAAAGGACTCTTGATTTTTTTTTTTTATGCAAGGTGAAATCTTCATAAAACTACAGTGGTACCTCGGGTTACATACGCTTCAGGTTACATATGCTTCAGGTTACAGACTCCGCCAACCCAGAAATAGTGCTTCAGGTTAAGAACTTTGCTTCAGGATGAGAACAGAAATCGTGCTCCAGCGGCATGGGAGCAGCAGGAGGCCCCATTAGCTAAAGTGGTGCTTCAGGTTAAGAACAGTTTCAGGTTAAGTACAGACCTCCAGAATGAATTAAGTACTTAACCCGAGGTACCACTGTATTTGCTAACTTTGTAGCTTAGATTCCCCCCCCCTTTTTTTTCTTTTTGCTTAAAGAAAGATCAGCCTTTTCGGTTTTCAATAGCACTCTAAAATGTATTCCAAATGCTTTGTGAAAATTTTTGGTGGTGGCTTCAGTAGTTATAAAAACCAGGAGCATTCCACTGAAATCAAGGAAGCCAACTCTGCCTTTACTGTAACATGAGATTGCCATACTGGTCTTGAAGAGCTAGCCAGACAGAAGTCCCTTCCCTTGCAGCTTGTTAACTCAGAGACAGTTCAAAACAGTTAACACACTACCTCCTACTATGTCCGGTCCTTTTCATGCGACACCCCTGCTTTCGCACCTCCCTACCTCATGGCAGCCCCTTCATTGCCCCCATTGGTCTAGGTGGCATTTAATGTTGCGGGTTGTTGTTTTTTTTTAAAGCTCTATAAAGCTCGGCAGTTGACCTATTAGAATCCTCCACTGTCCACCTGGAAATCTGGGTTCCAGCGATGCTTCAGTGGTGCTGCAACAACTTATATTTTTAATGTGCTCTCTTCCTCACCCACCCCCGCTTCCCAATACGTCTCTTTTTCTCTCAGCCAGGATTGCAGCATGGAAGTCAATGTGTGTCACTTTGACAGCGGTTCGCTTTGCAGCGTAGGGCCGGCGGTGGAGTGGGGATATCTGTTTTTTCTCAGTGGTGGAGCTCTGAAGTGGAAGAGACAGGGGGAGGCTGTGGAATGGGGAACGCCGACCAAAACAGTCCGGTGGTTGGCTCCTGCCAGATCCCTTGGCAGGCAAGCGAAGTAGGCCCTGGCACCAGGCTGGTGATTAAGAAAGGGGGGAGACGAGTGAGGAGAATTTGATAATGATCACACTAAGAATTGCTTTCTAAAAAAAAAACCCTCTCTAAACTATGCAACTGGAAAGGTTGGGTAATTAAGTAGGTGCCTCTTAAAAGAACGATTAAGTGTACAAGCCCAGATAACGGTTTGGGAGGGGATTCCCTCTACCCTAAGCTCACCTTATTGTCAGAGAGGATATCTTGCAATCACAAGCCTTATGGGCTGATTCTGGGAGGTGTTGAATGGAAAAAGTAGAACGGATCACTCTTTAATATGGTTGTTTTTAGTAAAATGGGGGGGGGGGTTGAGAATGTATTATACTGTATGGAGAATAGATGCTCCGGAAATCAACAAACCTACACAGGCATCTGTAATGTTGATGTGTGTTTTAATCTGTTTTTGCTTTCTGGCTGATTTTAATTTTTTGAATTCTTTAAATTGTTGTTTTTACTGAAAGTTTTATTGCTTTGTAATGTACTTTGAGGGTTTTTTAAACAATCAAACAGTGTATGAATTTCATAAAAATGAAATAAAACAATAAAATCTTCAAACATAGTGTTTTATAAGTGTTGAAACTTGTCAATCATAAACCACTTAATAGCATTTAAACACACACACACAAACACATCAATGATGTTAGAAAGTAATTGCACTCCTACACTGAATCTTTATATATAAGCTTCACCTTTATTTTTCTGACTGGAATGTTGTTTCCACAAAAGTTTAAAATACCAGCACATTTTACATGCGAAGAAGAAGAAGTATCAAAATGCAGGACCTTGTTTTTAATATGTTTGTGATTATACCTCCCATTGAAATAATAGTCTTAATAGTTACTAATTTTGGTTATTCTCCCAGGCATTTGGACAGCACTAATAGTCTGGCTTTTGATTGGTTTCTTTGGGTGTTCATTTATGTTGGTGGGATGGCTATTTTACGTCATTGGGTGATTTGGGTGGATGAACACTTAATGTGTTTCCTTTTAATGTGTGTTCTGTATATTGCTCTCTGTCAATCACTTCAGAACTCTTTCTGTATGAAGCGATAAATCAAGGGAATAAATGGAATGGAACTGGATTGGGCAATGCCCATTCTTAAAAATAATAATTATTAAGCTACTAAAGAATCACAGTACTTCGCAGGGAAGTGTGGTTTAGCGTAGAATCCAGTCATATTGATAGGTGCTCTGCACCCAGTTTAGTTAAATGATTTGGGCTGCAATCATCTGTGTACTTACCTCAGAGTAAGCCCCTTTGAATTTAGTGGGACTTGCTGCTGAATAAACATGCATAGGGTTGTGCTAGAAGTCAGTCCTGACAACCTTTGGTAGGGTTTAGTCCTGACTAACTTTAGTTTGTCTCTGGGAGTAGGTTGACCTTTTCCAGCACAATACCATGAATGGTATTGCAGTGGCTCAAAGCTCCAGCTGCAACACACTGCTGAAGGTGGCTGGGAATGACCCATGAATAGTCAAGGAATTTCCCCACCAATGTCATTGTGACTATTGTGGGTTGAATCTATGACACTTAGCATGAAGCATTGACTGAGAAGGTCCAAACACCTTTGTAAGTTTGAAGTGGTGATCTTAACCTGCAGGATAGCTCAGTTGTTAGAGCATGAGACTCTTAATCTCAGGGTTGTGAGTTCAAGCCCCATGCTGGGCAAAAAGATTCCTGCCTTGTAGGGTGATGACCCTTGGGATCCCTTCCAACTCAACCATTTCATCAGAACAACTTACTATGGAGTAATTCCAGAGTGAAGCCAAGTGCGTGTTCAATTTAATTTTCAATATTTTAATAATTGTTTCTTTGTGTGTATAACATCATTATATAATTTATCATAACTTTTTTTATCATGCTTATCCCACCCTTCCTCAAAGTAGCTCAAGTCAGCTGCACTCACAGGTTTCTCCTGTGAGATACTCACCAAAGGTTGTCATGACCCATAACTCAGGGACCTTGAAATGCACAGCAGAGGACTCTGGTGAGAGGGAAGTTCAGGCTACATCCTCATGGGGGAGAACCACCAGGCCCTCCTGGCCAGAGAACACAACATTTTGACTTAGAGGATGAGTCCCCCTGAAGAACCTCTGTCTCCCCAGTGTTGTAGAAGGCATAGACTTCAAAATCAGATGAAACCAGACAATTCATCCAGGGAAGCAGAACTTACCGCATCCCAGGACTCCTCAGGCTACATAACGCTTCAGTTGACTCTAGTTACCTACAGGGGAAATATACAGGCAGCTGCCTTTGGAGTTGTTCAGTGTACTATATGGACTCTGCTAGCCTGTGAATCTGAACTGCCACAGAACTGAACAGACAGCACCAAGGCTGTGCAAGGATTTGAACCCAGGCCTCCCTGATTCCTGTTCAGCAACCACCGTGCCTTGCTAGATGTGCTGCTTTGCATTTACACATCTGCATCTTTCACCGATGTTATTCAGAAGTGACAAGAAGGACAGCAAAGCACATCATTCACATCTCTCACGAGAGGAATGGTGTGTGTGTTTTGCACATCAAATCATTGTGGTGTGGATCTGCTGGTTGGTTTGATCTGCATGGAGCCCATGTCAAACTCTAGAAAGCTGGATGGGTGGAGAGAACGTACCTTTAGGAAGTCTTGGGGCATCTCCAAATATTATGCTCCTATCTAGTAACAGAATGCATAACCAGGAATTGCCCTGGGCAAAGGCAGGCACTTTTTTTGCAGGTGACATTCCTGCACCTATTGTTCAAAACCTGGTCTATGATCTGCATGGTTTGCCCTGGGCCCCAAGGCTCAGCAGCATCAGACTTCTACTACAGGGTGAAGAATACTACAGGTCTAGACTGGATTCTCTACATATAGCTAATCTTAGGCTTCACAATCACCAAAGGGGTGATTGATTCTTTTGCTACAGCATGAAGGTGGAAGTAGATAACACAGAAATGCTTTAAACCCAAATAGATGCATAAACAAAAGTTAGAGGCAAAGATCAAGAATTCTGTCCTTTTCTTTGAATGGGTTGTGCAATAAACTCAAATAATTGCAAGAGTCATGTGGTAGCTTCTCCTTATCTGTTTTAAGTGATTGTACAACTCATATAGATCATTCTTTGGCAATTGAAACCACATTCCATGTGCGAGGCATCTTTAGTGTGGTTTTTTTCTGAAAAGAGAAAAGGACTTGAGTTCTCCACGAAAAGGAAAGACTGTCTACCACTGATAAAGTGGATAGTTAGCATGTGGATGTCCTGAGTGGCAAAAAAAGCATAGGAAGAGAGATGGAGGAGGGGGAAATTAATCTCAGAGTTATACAGAAAAATCTTGGGGTTTTTTTAATGGACTGATCACATTTACCCCAAAACTAGCATGCGCTGAAGAGTTCACGTTTAATTAAGGCTGCACCCATGCACACTTTCTTGGGAGTTCCATGGAATTCAGTGGGACTTAATTCCAAGTAAATATGTAAAGAATTGGGATGAATAATACAGTAAGAAGAAAAAAAACCCTACAGTAGGAGTGGGCTGGCTGGTTGCTGGCATCTTTCACACAATCAGTAGCATCCAAAACAAACGCTCTATTCATCCAATGCCTGTTCTGGCTCCGAGCTATTTTTAAAGACTTTTGCCTTTTCAAATGTTGCCATTTTACAATCTTGTCTGCATAAATGTCAACAACGATCCCAAATCAGTATATGGACAATCTGCCATCCCTAACATCTCCAGTTCCCATAGATTAAAGATCTGAAACCATCACAGTGACACATTTTCATTTGTTTACGTCTCTTTCCATTTCAGTATAACAGGGAGATCCTATTAGCAGCAGAAGGTAAGGCACATTCAGTTCACTGGCCTTTTCTGTGTGTCTGGCCATAGCAGAAAGTGGCTTAGGTCAGCATCCTTATCAGTAGCAGATCCCTAATTACAGTACTGAAGTATAATACTCCAGTCTTGGGTGGTACCTTTGGGGAATTATTCTACAGCTCTTCAACAGAGCCTGTTATTGTCCAGATCAGAAGAGTCAAAATCTTACAAACACATTTCTCCGTCTCAAAGAGACTGTCTTTTTCTGAAGATTTCTTAGACACCATAACTATTTTGTGTTTGTGTCCAGGGATGATGAAGGCAGCATAGGAAAGAAAACTACTTTCAGCTGTTTCTCAATACCAAATGAGATGGAATGGGGTACTATAAATAAATATGATCCTATCTGTGTGGGAATTGAGAAGATAACAGTTGTACATGTTTCTTCTTCTTCATTAACTTCCCTTTGAGCTTCCGATATACTGGAAATGCTTCATAAAGTATTCTGACTATTGGTGGTTTTATAGTATAGATTTTGTGTGCATTTTGTTTTTGTATTTCACACACACAAATGTCTGTTTTTGTTTTCCATACTGAAGGGAAAATGGGGTATAACTAATAAATAAAGTATTGAGAACAAATTATCATTTATTAATTACACTTATTGGTTGTAGTAGTAGTAGTAGTAGTAGTAGTAGTAGTAGTAGAAATAACAGTAATAGTAGCAGCAGCATTTAACATAATCAACAAACAAGTCCATTGTTAATTTGAGCTGA